TCCAAATTAGCTCAAAATTGGGCTACAATTTAAATACTCGAAATTCATAAAAAATAAATTATTGAAATAATAATAAAATTATTTATTGGTATAATTCTTAAAAATAATTACTCAATATTATAAATATTTTAGCATAATTAATGTAATAAACACAATTATGTAAGAATATAGGTTATTATTGTAACTAGCGTAGATAAAATTCAAATTTAGTTATGTAAAATGCGATGAAATATTATAAAATGCATGTGGGTATAAAATGATATAAAATGATAAATTTGGATGATTAAATCACCCTAAAATAATTTAAAGGGATCATTTATAAATACTTGAACAAATTAAATGCGAGAAGATCAATTTTAAAGCTTTAAAAATCATAGAAAATTGTAGAAAATACTTAAATGACTCTTGTAAATAGGATAATCATGCAAAATGATATTTTGGAAGTATATGGAATACTTTATAGAATATAAGGGCGAAATTGGGTATCAACATCCGACTTTGAGCGACCGGACCTTTGCCTTCTTGTTGTAGTAACGCTCTGCTTGCTGCTTTTGGGCGACCATTCTTATGTACGTCATATCTCTTCGTTTGTCGATCACATTGAGCTCTTGCTTCTACTCTCTTTATTGGAAGTGTCGCTTTCGTGGGAATAGCTTAGGCTGGGTTCTCTAATTTCGACCGATAATACTGCTTCGGTTCGTAGACCAGAGAGTAGGGCGTCTCTCCTGTGCTAGTCTTCGGGGTGGTTCTATATGCCCACAATACTTCTAGGAGTATTACCAGCCATAGTCCCTTGGCGTGTTCGTGCTTTTTCTTCATGATGTTTAATATGGACTTGTTGGAGGATTCTGCCTGCCCGTTACTTGCTGGGTGATACGCGGTTGAAAGTATTCTCTTAATATGCCATTTCTCAAAGAATATGTCAGTTTTCTTTCCCGTAAACTGGGATCCGTTGTCTCAGATGATATCTTTGGGTAGGCTGAATGGCACATGATGTTTTTCCATATGTAAGTGATTACCTCTTGTTCGCGTATTGGGGCGAACGCTCCTGCTTCCACCCATTTAGAGAAATAGTCAGTTAAAACTAAAAGAAACCGTACATTACCTCGCCCTGCTGGGAGGAGGCCCACGATGCCCATTCCTCACTTGATGAACGTCCATGAAGAAGTAACTGAGTGAGATGTTTTCCTGCTTGATGAATTATTGGGGCGTATCTCTGACATTGTTCGTATTTGTTCACAAATTCTTTGGCGTCTCTTTTCATGGTGGGCCAGTAGTATCCTTCCTGTATGAGACATATAACGAGCGCTCGATCGCTGGAATGAGCGCCGCAATGGCCTTCATGGACTTCTTCAAGGACGCACTGGGTTTGGTTTGGGCCCAAACATTTGGCCAGCGTATGTCCTCTTGTATAGGTCGCTGTGGAGGAGGTTGTATCTGGCTACCTGCATTCTTAGTTTTTTTGCTTCTTTTTTGTCTTTGGGAGCGTGTCGTCCTACAAGTAGGCGATAATGTAATTGCGCCAATGCAAAGTTAGACTTTAAGATCTTACCTTTGATTTGGTCTAGCGACGAGTTGAGAGGTGGACTACACTTTTATCCCCGATCGTGATATTTTTGGTGGCTGTGACTAATTTGGTAAGGCCGTCTGCTTCTACATTCTAAGCACGTGGGATCTGGTCGAGTTGACATTCTTCGAACTTGGGCAGCAACAAACAGATCTCGGTCTAGTATTTCTGCAACCTTTATTCTTTGATTTGGAAAATCCCTGTGACTTGGTTGACTACGAGCTGGGAATCACAACGGAGCTTTAATCGCTTCGCTCTATACTTGAGTGCTAGTCTTAATCCTGCAATTACGATATTATACTCGGCTCGTTGTTAGTCATATCTGGGCATCTTATGGACTGGTAAATTACGTCGCCGGTAGGGACCTTGAGTACGAGTCTCAGTTTGGATCCGGAACCATTGGATGCGCCGTCGGTGTATAGGACCCAGAGGTCTTGTGTTTGGAGAGAAGCTTGGATGGATTCCTTCTCGACCTCAGGCATTATCTTTGCGCTGAAGTTTGCGATGTAGTCGGCGAGCAATTGCGACTTTATCGCTATTTGCAGCTGATATGTGATATCGTGCTCGCTTAGCTCGATGGCCCACTTGGCCAGCCTCCCCGATAATTCGGGTTTATGTAAAATGCCACTCATAGGAAAGGAAGTAACGACCGCGATAGGGTGGCCCTGGAAATATGGTCTAAGCTTTCGTGAAGCTATGACTAGTGTCAGTGACAGTTTCTCGAGGTGTGGGTACCTCGTTTCGACGTTTACAAGTGTTTTGCTAATATAATAAATGGGAGATTGCATACCTTTACTTTCCAAGATCAGGACTGCACTTACTGCCACTCAAAGATGGCCAGGTAGACGAGGAGATAATCCCAGCATTCGGGCTTTACGAGTAGAGGTGGTGATGACAGATATGCCTTTTGCTCTCGCAGAGCTTGTATGCACTCGGGAGTCCACTCAAGGATGTTATCCTTTTTGAGTACGTCGAAAAATCTTGTGACATCTGCGGATGAACGCGAGATGATTCTCGTGTTATATTTTGCGTTTTTGTACGTTAAAGTTTCGGCGTAAATTAATCGACGTAGGGTCGGGAATGACATTAATTTTGAGGTTATAAGTATTTATACTATTTATAACAGGTGATAAGTAAGTGTCGTGAAGGTTAGAGGGTAAGCAAAACAAAAAAAATAAGTTTTGTTGAAGGTTGTCAATTTGGGATAAAATACGGTCCAAGCTATAATACCCGGTATTTATGGACTAGTGTGATGATCCGCCATGTCATCATGCCACATAGGCGCCATTTGGCATATATTAATGCCATGTGGAAGCTTACATAAGAGGAAGGCTAGCATTTGTGAGAAGATTCTAGAGAAATATGGATATATCCTTAGGAAGACCCTAGATCCTTATGGATTTGCTAGGAAAGTCCTTGGAATCTTCTAGGCTTGTAGAAAATTCTAGAGAAGGGACTTACTTGTAAATATTTAGGACTTGTGGAACAATTATTATTTACACACTAGCCCCTAGGTGATTAGTATAAATAGGGGGGGCCATTCATTTGTAATACATCAAGCAAACAATTCAAGTTCTCTCTAATACAAAGCTTCCTTTAACAATTCTCTTGTGTTCTTTCTATCATTCTCTTAGCGATCTTGAGTGTAGCAAGGCTGACTTGGCATAGCAAGAGCGTGAGCAAGCTGTGCAAGATCGTGAGCGAGTTGTCAAGTGCCACACGTGTACTTAGTTAAAAACTAAGGACGTGACACTAGTGCCATACAAGGTGCCACATGAGCATGATAGTGAGGTGTATAATGTATGTTAAAGGTGATTAGTATTTTAAGTAAAATAAGGTATTAACTAATTATGTTGTAATGGGTTAATTATTGATTTAACTGGGAAGTTAACAAATCAATTAGAAATGGGTGGATAATTATTTGGTGGAAACATCACCCCCAACGTGGTAGCAAGGGGTAATATTAGCAAGACCAAACAACGACTCTTTGGTTTATGTGGCTAGGTGGCATATTTAGGGGATTTTTGGGCAAAGTAATCCACAAAAGTGGGGCCTACAATTCACAATGATAAGAAATCTTCCTACATCTTTAAGTGTGATGTTTTATGTTTGCTTAGTAACAGATGGAGACACAAAGCATTCCGACGAAACTACATAATGTAATAGCAACGTGACTTGCAATTCTAAAGGAGTCCGGTATAACCTTTCTCAAGAACATCATACGAATTTTACCCTACTTCGATCAGTCGTTACGTGTTTCTTCGCGATTGATGTGTGTTAGAGGGATTGTCAAGAAAATCGGCTCAGGTATGTTGAGGCTATCCCTTCTTTTCTTTTGGCATGATCCATATGATACACACGAAACGAGCAAATGCGGAACTTTCACAGATGACTCTATTCCTAGAAGTAGTAAGGGTGTCTATGTTCTTGATTCCCCATGTGTCCTATTATTATATCGTCTGTTCATGGGTTTCAGAAAATACGTAAGTTGATAAAGTTTATTTTATGATATTAATCGATGGTATATTTATCTTAAGACATCCCGAGAGATCTTATTGACCTACTTCATGTGCACTACATTCAGTTATACATGTACATTGACCCATGACCAGATGGTGTTATATACGCGAATATTATATGTATATGGGGTATGGGGAAAGGTTATGGCGTTATATACGCACCACCACCTGATCAGCTGGTATACATTGATGATTTTACCCACTGTGGTCGAGATGATATAATAGGATGCCCTCAGAGGCTTGATGATATTATGTACGCATATCCTATGCATGATATGACATTTATACGCATATGCATAACATTATAAATGTTTCATGATTCACAGAGCTATTCAGACTTACAGGTTGGGTCTTTTCCTCTATGTTTCTTTCATGTCTATTATATATTGGTTTCGTCCCTTACATACTCAGTACTTTATTTGTACTGACGTCCCTTTTTCCTGGGGACGCTGCATTTCATGCCCGCAGGTGTCGATAGACAAGTTGAGAATCCTCCAAGTAGGCTATCAGCTTAGCAAAAGGCGTTGGTGCACTCCATTTGCTCAGGATTTGCCTATTTGGTCAGTATGATTTGGACATGTATTGATTGGTATGGCGGGGACCTATCCCGACCTTTATGACATTTATGTACTCTTAGAGGCTTGTAGACAGATGTTATGTATATGGATACTTGTATGGTCTTGCCGGCCTATGTTTTGAGTATACAAATGATCATGTCGACCTTATAGGCCCGTATATCATATGTATAAGTCGGTACATCATGTTGGGCCGTCCTATGTCGAGTATTTCCTCATGTTTTATTCTAGTTATCTCACGACAGCCTTTTCGACTCATTTACATATGATAGTATGATACGAAAGACACGTTACGCTGGTACTAAGTTGAGAAAGGTACCGGGTGCCCGTTGTGGCCCATCAGTTTGGATCGTGACATCTCGATAGGGCGGCAATTCGACCAGTCAACCTTTGGACTTGCTTCTTAGTAGTCAATTGCTCTGGTATACCTTCAATAGCTTTGATTTGGTCTAGGTTGACTTCGAGTTGTGACAGTAAGAAACCCAAAAACTTCCCCAAGGCCATGGCAAACGCGCATTTCTCTGGGTTTAGTTTCATTATGTACCGTCTCAAAGCTTCCTTCAAATGGTCGATATAGTCCTCCGGCTTTACGGATTTGGCCAGCATGTCGTTGATATATACTTCCATGGTCTTGCCAAGCTGATCTTTGAATATTTTTGTGACCAATCTTTGATAGGTAGCTCCTGCTTTCTTCAACCCGAATGGCATGACTCTATAACAATATGTTCCTCGATAGGTGATGAACGTAATTTTATCCCGGTCCTCTTCTTTCATAAGTATTTGGTTATAGCCCGAGAAAGATTCCAAAAAGCTCAACAGCTCGTGCCTGGCTGTCGCGTCAATGAGTTGGTCGATATCTGGTAACGGGAACGAATCCTTCGGGCATGCTTTGTTCAAGTCCGTGAAGTCTAAACACATCCTCCATTTCTCATTTTTCTTTTTGACCATCACTACATTGGAAATCTACTTGCGGTATTTCGACTCCCTGATGGAGCCATTTTCTAATAGCTTTCCCACCTCCTTGTGGACGGCATCGTTGATGGCAGGGTTGAATTTTTGTCTGACCTGCCTTACCGAGGGTAGGATGGATCAACGTTTAATTTGTGTGTGGCAATCTCCTTGGGGATTCCCGTCATATCTGCATGGATGAAGGCAAGCAAATTAGTATTAGTTATTAAAAATTGACTAAATTTACCTGGTTCTCGGAGATTGCATCCGATGTAGGCTTTTTTGCTGGAGTTGATGCAGTCTAATTGAACAAAGTCGAGGTCCTCTATAGTTGAGTCCGCAGCTTCAATTATTTCAGGATCCATGATTATGTCCTTGGTTTCTTCTTGCGTCGACCTCGACCTTGTTGATTGCTATGCCTCTTTTTCCTTGTCTTTCTATTGATGGGTTATCGTGTCGTTTAAGGCGATGTGGTATCATTCCCAGGACATGCGTTGTTCTCCTCGTATGCTGAATATCCCACAAGGTGTTGGAAATTTGATTACTTGGTATAAGCTGGAGGGGACGGATCTCATGGGATGTATCCATGGTCGTCCTACTATAGCATTGTATGTGGTGGCTTGGTCTATGATGTAGAACAATGTCTACTGAGTTATACCGCTGGCCAAGAAAGGGAGTGTGATTCCGCCCAATGTCCGTTCAACTGCATTATTAAAATCGGTTAGTGTGATGCAGTGCGACACTCTCTTGTCCTCGAGTCTAATCTGGCTGAGGACTCGGGGATGGATAATACACGCTTTAATCCCATCGTCTACCATGATACATTTGACATATGTATCTAAAATTTGTAAAGTAATTAAGAGAGCATCATTGTGAGAGAAAGTTAAATTGGCGACATCTGACTCGTCGAAGATAATACTATAATCAAGTCTGTCATACATTCATGGGTGATAGATCTTTTGAGCTTGTGAGTGGAATTGAATTTAACGTCGTTGATGGAGGCATCGTCACCGTCGCCGATGATCATGCTGATGGTCCGAGCTGGTGATGGTGCCTTCAGAAGGGCCTTGGCGTTCACGGCCTCTAGCGAAGTTGTTTCTTCCCTTGTCACTCAGCACCTCTTTGAGGTGTCCTTTCAATAATATGTTCACAACCTATTGTGTGAGGGCGACGCGGTCTTCTATCTTGTGCCCGCGTTCCTAGTGGAATTCGCAGATAGCGTCAGATTTTTTGGTGCTCGGGTCGTACCTCATCTTTGGCGACCACTTCTTCGTTCCGAGTCTCTCCAGGGCATAGACTATTTCTGTAGGTGACACACAAAAATTGTGAGCAGACAATAAGGGGGCATACCTCTCTCATTCTGGTGAGTCCCCGTCCTCGGTCTAGATGGGCTTTATCATAATGGAAGGAAGGTAGCGCGATGGCCCTGGCATATGGCTGATGTTGTCCCTATTTGATAATGAGACCAGGTGATCCCTCCTTATGTTGCCTCTTCGATCTTTTCTAGGCTTGGCTTGTACTGAGACGAGCCGTCGAGTTGGTCCAGTAAGGTCGTCTTCGTTTCCTTGAACTTCGGCACAGTAAGCATTATGGATTTCATCCCAAGTGGTTGGAGGGTACTTCATCAACCGGCTCAGCAATTTTCTGGTCGCTCTTGAACCCTCTCTACTCAATCTGTTCTGTAAGGCCGCGACTGCCATCCCTTCGGACACATTTGGTAGGGTCATCCTTACCCTATTGAACCAGGAAAGAAAGTCCCGCAATCCCTCTCCCAAGGACTGCTTGATGGCGAAGATGTCATTTACTCTTATTTCAGCTTTCTTGGACCTAGCATGCACCGTTACAAACTTATCGGCCATTTCTTCGAAGGTTTTTATAGAACGGGCTGGTAGTTGTGAATACCATGTCAATGCCTCTCCCGTGAGGGTTTCACCAAATTTCTTCAGCAAAATAGAGGAAACTTGTTCCTTGGTGAGGTAATTGCCCTTTACGGCTGTGACATAATGAGTTACGTGATTTTCGGGTCAGTCATTCCGTTGTATATCCTGAGATATGGTGGCATTTTGAAGGTCTTTGGTATGGCATGTGGGGTTGCATCCAGGCTATACGGTTGTTCTGTGAATCTAGCGGCGTCCGTCTTTGGATGTAGCTTAGGGGTGCCCAGTATCTTGTCGACTCGTTCTTGGTGTTCTTTCATTTGATCTCTGAACGTTTTGTTTTCATTCCCCATTTCTTCCATCCTCTTTAGAACGATGGCAAGGCCGTTGTCACCTGCATTGTTAGTAATATTGTGAGTTATAACTGGTCTTGGTTGGTCGTCCTGCTCGTTTGTTCATTGCATTGTGTGGGCTCTTGCGGTTTCAACGGTCATGCATGGAGCATGTTTGTTGAGCATGCTTACTAACGTATCGGTGAGCCATGTTTCGAGGAGCTTTTTCATGGCCGATGGCGTACCATCTCCTGTGGACGTGGAGGTCCCTTTTCAATTTGGTTTTGTTGTGCTGCAATGGGGGGAGGCGACCTCTCGCGCCTGGGGGAGGCAGTGGGTGTCACATCATCACCTAGCGTTTCACAGCTCTCGTTGAGAGCATTCATGAGGTTGCCATGGAAGTCACCTATCACCTTAGTCCTATCTCCTTGGTTACCTGCCATGTAGGCTTCCGTACGTGCAACAAAAGATAACAATCTTGGTTAGGTTAGTGACTTACGTGAGTTATAGATCTAAAGGAAACTTAAAAATTAGCTAAGAAGTCCCCACAGGCGGTGCCAAACTGTTTGACCCAAAAAATTAGATCTGGGTTCAACCAATTAGATTTAAATAAAACCGAGTCAATCTTAGCTAATATTAATATCCAAAACACAAGGCTATCGATTTTATGGCAGATAGTATGTATATTTGATCGAATGGAAATAAATATGAACAATAATAATAGTATTCAATTATCCAAAAAGGTGGAAGATAGAATTAAATAATAATAAGTAGCGATGAATGTCATTTAAGTAAATAAAAACGTGTGAGTCACACGAAAAGAGGTGGGTGTGTAGATATTCTTTATGACAATGATGAATGATTGTTGAGCCTTTGAACACTCAGGTTGTTCTTGGATCAAGTGAAAAAGTTAGACAAGAATTTTTGTAAAAAAGTTATTTTCGTATGCTTGTAATATGGCAAGTTTCTCTCTATAAAGTCAATGTATTTTTTTACAAGTGAATATCCTATGTCCCTTATCATTGTGTCTTTTTCTATTTATAGGGAGCATATTCTTAAAAAACCTAATAGTACAGGTTCCGAGAATATTCACTTTTGTGTCATATCACAAAACTAGCTGTTATAACTCCATCCAAGATGCTCGTCCTCGACCTTAATCTGTGATGACTTCTCGACCTTGATCTTCGCTGATTTTTCGACCTTGATCTTCGCTGACTCTTCGATCGCACCCTTCATTGCTTCATAGATCACTTCGACCTTAGGCGAGTCTTTGTTGAAGTCGTATTGATGACATGTGGCAGTCTGTGACTGCCTTCTTAATGTCAATACGATTTGGTCATATCAGAAATAATTTTTGACTCATACAATCGTATTGCATGAACGTCCCTAAAGTTTTAATATTCAACCGAGTTATTCAAACAAGTTTAGAGGGACTTGTGTATTTTGCCTTGGAAAAAGAAGTATGGTCAAAGGCCATAGAGAATTCGCAGGAGGGAGGGATAGAGTCCGGAACCCAATTGCGGTCTTTTTGGACTCAAAATACCGAAATAAGTGGGATAAAAACTTAGTGACCAAACTATATAAAATGCGATTTTAAACCGCGCTTTACTTTAACGTCCGTTTGGGACGTTAAGGTAAAGCGCATTTCAAAACCACGTTTTATATAAAACGCCTTTTCAAACCACGCTTTACTTGAAGCTGATTAGACGTTTAACTAAAACGTGGTTTGATAAAGCGCTTTATCTAAAACGCTTTACTAAACCACGTGTTACATATTCAAATACCTATCCCCTTCCCTTCCCCCACGCTCAAACCAGAAAGCAACCCTTCC